GTCATTAGCCACCTCAACCTCCATAACCCCCCTTGTCATTATGCAAAATGCTATAAGTACAAAGGTATCCACTTGTTATCATGTGCTTGTTTACGTCGTGATAAAACACTACTATGGTCTTCTAAAAAATTCTGTTTTTTCAGCATAGACTTGGAATCAGTGGTTTCACCAAGGTGATCAGAGTCCTCGATGCAACTCTGATAATTCCACAGTTTTTGGTTTCAAATTCTTACCCACAATTGCAGAGGATAATAAAGCAAGAATCAAAGTAAGCCCGAACGATAGATGTACAGTGAATAAAATACTCTAAGAAACCTTCCAACTACTACATAGAAGTGTGAATACACCCACTTATGTGTGCCAGTCTATAGCATTCATTTATGAAGTGTGCCAGACGCGGTACTAGGAATTGAGCGTTCAGTGAAACCAAAACAGCCCAGACCATACTCTTATGGCTTACCTTGTGAAAAAGGAGAGAAGTTCTTACACAAGTAAGCACACTGATAAAGAGATAAATTTAAATTATCCAAAGTGGCGTAAATGACAGGTACTCAGAGCTCTCGGCCTGTGTGACGGGAGAGTCTAATCTCCTTTTCAGGAATCAGAGAAGACTGCTTTGAGCGAGTGGCATTTACACTGACACGTGAAAGATGAGTGTGAGGAAGTGGTAGCCGGGTAGTGACAGCAGAAGCCGAGGAGGCAGAAGTTTCTGGAGAAGTTTGGGGGTTGGAGGGAACACAGTGAAAGCATTTTACGGAACCTCTTGCCCATGGATGGTGAATTTGAATACTGCCCAAAGCACTGGAAGTCATTGAAGGATGTTAAGCAGAGGACTGATGTCATTATTTCCCCTCTATAAAAGGTCTCTCTGAAGGGATGTAAGTAAAAGAAAAGAATTAAGAGGTAATTTAGTTGGGGCACCTGGGTGGCTCAGTTAGTTAAGCTTCCAGGTCTTGATTTGGGCTCAGGTCATGATCTCACAGTTTGTGAGTTCCAGCCTATGCTGACGGCTCAGAGCCTGGAGGCTGCTTTGGATTCTGTGTCTCCCTCACCCTCTCTCTCTCTCTCTCTCTCTCTCTCTCTCTCTCTCTCTCTCTCTCAAATAAATAATAAAAAAAGAGAGAAGTAATTTAGTAATCTAAGTTGTAGTCAGTGGTGGCTAGGTCCAAGGTAATTAGGAGTGAGATATTATATGTGGGTGAAAGCAACACATTATAGACAGACAGGGATTATTTTGTAAATGACATTAGGTCTTGGACCTTGGTACTTAATATAACATGTATCACAGCCCGCAACTCAACCTCATACGTAGTATTAAACTTGCTTTCTCAAATTGTTGCATGAATGAATAATTGATAAGATAAATGAAGGAGGTATCATAAATATCTACTTTCTTTCTTATATAACCTATTATGTTAGTAGGAGGACCATTTACTGAATGGCGATTGTTGGAGGTGAACAAGATTTGGACACAGAAGAAATCGAGAGTTCAGTCAGGAACATGTTAAGCTTCTGATTCGATGCTAGACAGAATAATGGCCCCCAAATATGTCCCACATATGAATATGTTACCCTGCATGGCAAAAGGAACCTTGTAGATGTGATGAAGGTTAAGGATTTCAAGATAGGAAGATTTTTCTGGATTGTCCAGGTGGGTCATAATGTAATTGTAAAAACCCTTCAAACTGGAAGAGGATGTCAGGAGAGTGGGTCAGAAGGTTGAGATGGAAGAAGAAGGAGGAGAGAGTCAAAAGTGAGAGGGACTTGACTCTCCATTGTTGGCTTTGAAGATGGAGGAGGTGTGCCATTAGCCAAGGAATGTGAGTAGACTCTAAGCTGGGAATTGTCCTCACATGACAGTGGAAAACTAGGTGGGGAAGCTCAATCCTACAACTCAAGCAACTGAATTCTGTCAACACCTCCAACGAGGAAAGGGAGCTTCCCCGACAGCCTCCAGAAAGGATCACAGCCCTTCCTGTGCCTTGATTTTAGCCTGATGAGACCCGTGTTGAACTTCTGAAATACAAAGCTATAAAATTATAAACTTGTGTTTTGTAAACTACTCAATTTGCGGTCATTTGTTATGGCAGCCACAGAAAACTAACACAGATATGCATGAGGCATTCTGGGAGGTATCAGCCAAGCAGCCCGATGGATATAAAGCAATACATACACACACCCAACACACATACGCGCGCGCACACACACACACACACACACACACAGAGCCACTTTACTCAAATTGAATAATTCTATAACACATCTTCCCTTATATGGATGAATAAAAACATATTTTGAACAGGGATCATTTAAAGTACTGGTTATATAAACAGTTGCTTTTGTGATCTTAAGAATTCCCACAGACAGGGATGCCTGGGTGGCTCAGTCACTGTAGCACCCGACTCTTGATTTCAGCTCAGGTCATGATCTCAGTTTGTGGGGTCGAGCCCCACATCAGGCTCTGCACTATCAGTGCAGAGACTATAAGTGCTTGGGATTCTCTCTTTCCTTCTCTGTCTGCCTCTCCACTGCTCTCTCTCTCTCTCTCTCTCTCTTCCAAATAAATAAACTTAAAAAAAAAATTCCCACAGATAGCAAAATGTCACTGAAATTTCCACAAATGGTGGTGCTAATAAATAAGACCTATTTATATTATATTACTGGATTACATTTTTCTATTTACTTATGCAGTGATTTCAGACAAAAAATAAGTGTTTTTCCCCCAAAGGGGGATTAGTGTTGTCATTTAGTTTTTCCTCTAAGTGACGAGCTTGACTAATTTGTCAGTAATTTGTATGGCAAGTTCTAGGCACACAGTAAAAGTAGAAGAACATGTGTCTATGGAAACTCTTCAGGTCGTTCATGGTGTTTCTTCCTCTTTCGGCATTCCTGCAATCCCTCCTCTGTCTGTTCTCTGGTTTAGCCTCAAGAGGTAATGACCTCCCAGGGGAATTTTTGTTTGATGAGTCAAATGGACAAATCCTGCTGTGATGTCAAGTTACAAACATGGCTTTCACATCTTGGACTTCACCATTTCAGACAAGACAGAAGCTTTCCGCAATGCCCCCAATACGCTTTGCTAGGGTTTGTAAAAGTGGAGGTACCTCTGCATGTGTACTGTTAAAGCACATCCTGCTGCATTCAGGCTTTCTGGACTATAAATGATTATTTGTGTCCCTAGCTCCTAATGCAGTCCAATGTCTTGTCTTCCTTCCTTTCCTTAGCAACAGTTTGGGGCACAATTATATAGCATCTCATGGCTTTCTTTTTTTTTTTTTTAATTTTTTTTTCAATGTTTTTATTTATTTATGGGACAGACAGAGACAGAGCATGAGGGAGGGAGAGAGAGGGAGACACCAGAATGGGAACAGGCTCCAGGCGCCATCAGCCCAGAGCTGACGGGCCGAACTCACGGATCAAGATCGTGGACGAAGCGAAGTCGATGAACACTCGCCACCCAGGCGCCCCAGCATCTCATGGCTTCTAATATTTACTCCAGTTTCTTTGGAAAAAAGGAACACAAGGGCACCTGTGTAGCTCAGTCACTTAAGCGTCCAACTTCAGCTCAGGTCATGATATGGTTCGTGGGTTTGAGCCCCATGTCAGACCCTCTGTGCTTGATAGCCTGCGAGCACAAACCAGCCCTCTGTGTCTCCCTCTCTGTCTGCCCCTCCCCCACTCACGCTGTGTCTCTCTCTGTCTCAAAAATAAATAAATATTTTTAAAAATTTAAAAAATTAAAACAAAAGCAAAACAATAACAACTGTTTAACACAAAATGCACAGTAGCTGATAGTGACTGTCAAAATTTATATCACAATTGAGTTTGGATAAGATTATTTCTCATAACCCTCTATTAGAAGAATGTTTACTCAAAATTCACACATTGTATTTGATGCAAAGTGATTTTTATGTGACTTAAAATTTTTGGTTCCTATGTTACTATCGTATCAATAATTCTCAATTACCATTTGGAGATTATATTGTAATTTCAAAGAAGAGTCCTTTGCAGGTGCTTTACAATTACTACACTTTTACTCCCATTTGGATTTGGGGGCAGATTTAATTTTAAATCTTAGTTTTATGTGTTCATTTGTTCTAACCTTCATTAATCCCACAGGTATTTATTAAGTAGTTTTATACGTGAGGCATTATACTAAGAACTGGGACCCTGTACATTGATTTCTTATGTAACTCTAAGCAAGATCATTACATTCCATAAGCCACAGTCGTCTCATTTGCAAAATGGGACCAATTATATTTATTCATAAGAACATGGTGAGGATTGGGGCACCTGGGTGGCTCAGTCAGTTAAGCATCATGATCTCATGGTTCGTGGGTTCGAGCCCCACGTTGGGCTCTGTGCTGACCGCTCAGAGCCTGGAGCCTGTTTCAGATTCTCTGTCTCCTTCTCTCTCTGCCCCTCCCCTGTTCATGCTCTGTCTCTGTCACAAAAATAAATAAATATTAAACAAAAATTAAAAGAACACGGTGAGGATTAAACGAGATCATGTACATAGGGCTTGAAAAAAATATATATGAAAATTAATATATAAACTGCTTGAACAAAAAGTAATGTAGCATCTTAAGTTGTCATCTAGTAGGTTATGTTAAATTAATTAAAAACTAGACACGTGTTTCTTATTTTCGAATTCAAAATCATTAAAGAAATGATGGTCCAGGAAAAATTCAGTATTATTGTAATATGAGTTTTCTGTCATAACATAATGTTGTTATTGCTAATGATACTATCAAGTTATGTTCTGGTCATTTTGAATGAAGAAAAATTAGTGAAACTATAGTATATTTCTTTTCATGTTATAGACTTTTGCATTACATCATCATTGTTTTTTTAATTTTCTCCTTAGAGAGAATATTCAGTTAAAAATACGCCATAACATATCAACTACCCCTTCTAGCAAGGCAGTGTAACAAAATATAATGTTAAAAAATCGTGACAAACACACTATGTGAATTCCTTTGTTTTTAATTTCTATGCAGGCAACAGACCCTGATGCGGGAATAAATGGCCAGGTGCACTACAGTCTGGGCAACTTCAATAACCTCTTTCGCATCACATCTAACGGGAGTATTTACACAGCAGTGAAGCTTAACCGAGAGGTCAGGGACTACTACGAACTTGTCGTTGTGGCAACCGATGGGGCGGTTCACCCGCGTCACTCAACTCTGACGCTGGCCATCAAAGTGTTGGATATTGATGATAACAGTCCCGTGTTCACTAACTCAACATATACTGTCATCGTAGAAGAGAACCTGCCAGCCGGGACCACCTTCCTTCAGATAGAGGTGGGTGGAAGACGCATTAATTTCGTGAATTCCACATTTTAATATCTCCATTAGTGTCAGGTTGCAGATTTAGCAAATAAAAAATCAACACACCAAGTTGAATTCCAATTTCAGATAAACAGTGAGTAAATGTTTAATATAAGTGCCTCTCAGATATTACATATTGTATTTTATCTAACAACCTTACTTCAGGGATATACCAAAAATTAAGAGGAGAAAAGATACATTTGTAAGAAATCAAATAACAGTTGTTAATAATTTTTTTAATTTATAAAATTAATTTTACATATTTATTGTAAAAATTGACAACACAATAGTCTATAAAGAAGAAGTTAATAATCTCCCACTTTGTACATCCAGGATACCCAGGATTAAATTTTTATATGTATTCTGTGACATTTATCTTTGTACTCCCACAATATCCAATAAATATTTTTATATTTTCATACGTGCAAATATGCATGTGTGTGTATGCATATATCCATATATATATATATATATTCAAATAAGTGTTTTCATGTATGTATATATGCAAATATGTATATATGTATATATGCAGCCATGTGCATATATATCTATGTATGTATATATTCAAATAAATATTTTCATATATAAATATATGCAGATATGCATGCATGAGAGTGTATGCATATTTACCTATGTATGTATATGTAATCAAATAAATATTTTCATATTTACATATATGCAAATATGCATGCATGCCAGTGTGTGCATATGTACGGGTGCATGTGTATATTCAAATAAGTATTGTCACATTTTCATATATGCAAATATGCATGTATGCCAGCATATCATGTATACCTATATATATTCAAAAAATATTTTCATATTTACATGTGTAGAGATTTGCCGTATATTTTACAAAAGGGGATATTGCTGAACCCATTGTTTTTACTCTCAGTGCTCTTCAGAAGTCTAACTGTCCTGTTTAACAGTGTCCCCACATTCAAGCCTGTTTTTTCAGTCCTCAGCTACAATACTACCAGAAACTCTGGACATTCTGATTCAGTACATTCAGTTGGCCCAGAAATCATTTTAAGCAACCGCCCCTTTAATTCTGACACAGACGGTCTACGAAGTATATTTTGGGGGGTGGAAAAAAATCTAGTCCTTCCTTGACCTGCCATCCACAACTTGAATGTTGTTAGCATGGATTTCAAGAACTTGCAGTTTTTTCATAATTCAACTCAATAAATATTTAGGCCAAAACATTAATCATTCTGAAAAAGGCAGGTGCCAACCAGGGAAAGGGCCCTATTTCTCCATTTATTCTTCTGTTCATCTATTCATTTTTTAAATTTTTTAAAATTTTTAAAAAATTTTTTTAACGTTTATTTATTTTTGAGACAGAGAGAGACAGAGCATGAATGGGGGAGGGGCAGAGAGAGAGGGAGACACAGAATCGGAAGCAGGCTGCAGGCTCTGAGCCGTCAGCCCAGAGCCCGACGCGGGGCTCGAACTCACAGACTGCGAGATCGTGACCTGAGTGAAGTCGGCCGCTTAACCAACTGAGCCACCCAGGCGCCCCTCTCCTTCCTCTTTTTGATACGTTACTTAACAAAAAAGCTTTTCTTTAAAACACGTCTTTTGATCATCATGTAATTCGTGTTGTTGTAGGTACTGACACATGACCTGCATCAGGCTTGTCGTCCTCTGGTTTGGGAGCACTGTCGATATGACCGTCTTTCTGCTTGACTTGTTACAGGCCAAAGATGTTGACCTCGGAGCAAATGTGTCTTATCGGATCAGAAGCCCAGAAGTCAAGCACTTTTTTGCACTACATCCATTTACAGGAGAACTCTCCCTCTTAAGGAGTTTGGACTATGAGTCATTTCCAGACCAGGAAGCAAGCATCACTTTTCTCGTGGAGGCCTTCGATATTTATGGAACGATGCCACCGGGCATTGCTACTGTCACAGTGATAGTGAAGGTAGGAAACACAGGTGACTCCTGGTTGCCTACTCCATTCTCTCTACGGAGTCTGTAGCACACCTGAGTGTCTGGGGCAACGGTTCCTAACACCACGGTAGTACTAGACCCAGAGCAGAGGTCATCACTGTGAAAGACCTGAGGAAAAGCCGCATTGTTTACAGTGTAGAAGATACATTTGCATGAAACTCTAAATAAGAATTTTAACACTGGCTGCCTGAATGTCCCCTTAGTTCTGGATTCTCAATCGAGTTACAGTCTCTCCAGACTACAATTCAGTCCAAAGTTGACAGCACCAGGAATAATCACTTCGTCCAAATCCTCCAATTTAAAAGTTCTAAGAAGAAAAAGGGTACTGAAAAAGTAGGAGTTCGAAGGCCCAAGAACTAATTAGTTTAGTTCACAAGCCAAGATTCTGGAACAAAATCAGCTTGGGGATCAGCTGGAACTGGGGTCAGGATGTGGCTCAGCCATGTTCAGGGTCTGTGACACTGAGGACTTTGTTAGCTGTTCCAGATTTCTCATCCCATCCATCGTAGCAATCTGTGCCAGGTGACTGCTTGAGAGAGCATGGTATCTTGTCTTTGGGGATTCTAGTGATTTCTAAGGTAACACCTTTAGAAGAAGACAGGAGGAGGGATTTGTCAGTTCTCAATTGTTAGTGTATGTGAAGGTCACCTGAGCCCTGTGCTCCACTGTCAGATTCCTCTGCTCCTTCCCAAAGGGAAGGGGAAATCCCTTCCCTTTCCCAGGGGAAACCATCACAGACGCTTTTCTGCAGATGGACATTCGCTTACAGTGAGAGAAACTTAGGTTCTGAGGATGATTCCAGTTCTTGAAAGTGCTATCCATAGAGGGCTGTACGTATACAAGGTTACAAAGAACACAAGTCATAAGTACGTAAGGTCATAGGCAACTTTTCTACATGTTAATTTTTGTTTTTTTGTTTTGGGTTTTTTTTGTTTGTTTTTTACTATGCACATTTTTGTAGGGTACTGCCATGTGTAAATGGTAGAGTAAGAAATAATCCCTTTTCTTGAATTTTTGTTTGATTGTTTAACCAATAACGAATCTATACTACTGGTTTTCTTAGACAATAAATTACTGATATGAAAACATAGAAGATTGTTAAAGACTGTGCCAAAATATAATTAGCATGACCTTATTTACCATGTAGGTAATTGCTGTAATGTTCTTGACTGTAAGAATCTTTGGGTCTTGGTTCTGTCTTTTTGTTGCTGGGTGGATAATCTTGCGATCAGAGAGAGACACAAAAATTATTCCACCGTTCCTTCTTTACACTTGACCTAGCTTATCTGCCGGAGCACACGTGATATTTCTTCCCTGGGGTCCTGCTGTCTCTTTTAAACTACACTGGGAAGGGGACACGTGTCCCTTCCACTCGCAGATGCCCAGAAGCTCTCTGGAGAATTTTATTAAGGTTTGAATTCCTTCCTTCTCAGGCATCCACAATGGCTTTTTGCCTACTTCTTCCACTTTGCATCTCTCTAGCCTAAGAAAGTTATTTTATTTAGCCTAAGAAATTTAGAGATCTGTTTACAAAAGCACTTTAGGACCATGGCAGTGTTTTGGTTACAAAGATGTCAATAAGCCCAGAAACGAAGACCAACATGAGCCTGACCTAAGTGAACTAACCATGTGGCAGAAAGACTCTGAACCAGGTGAAAAGTTTGGGCCACGTTACCCCAGTCTACACTTGCCTGCCTCTGCGGTTTGGTGGAATTGACCACTAAAAACATTTAAAATAGCAAAATGGCCACTTATTCGCTGTTTTGAATAAAAAAGGAAGAAAAGACTTGCTGCTCATGACCATCTCCCCTGATGGGATGGCCTGCTCTCAAGATGGGTGTGGTTCATAATGGAGAGTTCTTTTTTTGTTTGTTTGTTTTAATGTTTATTTATTTTTGAGAGACATAGTACAAGCAGGGAAGGGGCAGATGCAGAATCTGAAGCAGACTCCAGGCTCTGAGCTGTCAGCACAGAGCCTGATGCAGGGCTCGCACTAATGAACCGTGAGATCATGGCCTGAGCCCAAGTCAGGCTGAGCCCCGCAGGTGCCCCAATAATGGAGAGTTCTAAACCATCACAGACTCTGACCTGCCTGTTTTGCATTCAGCTTGGATTGATTTGCTTGGATTTTTTTTTTTTTTTTTTTTTTGATAGAAGTCATTGGAATCAAATGGGGTCCAAACATACCATCTAATCAAGCAAGATGTGTTCTAAGTAAGTCTCATTCTCTGTCTGGGACTGGCATCTCTAAACACGCATCTCAAGCTGCCTGACCACTCCTTTGTTTTAACACTTGGGTGTCATTTCTGGCTTCCACGTCGGCTTTCACATCGGAAAGGTTTTGCTCATCGAGGGACTCGCTCCTTCAGAAATAGGAGAGCGTCGACCTAATTTTTGTTGTCTCAATTGCCTTATCTTATTTAGAGAGGTCAAACATTTTCATGGTCGGGCCTTCCTCACCTATACAAAATTATTTCTGATTTATCATACTTTAAAAACAAAACTTAACCAGCCAGTATTCAATTGTAGACATTTTCAATGCCACTTTCTTCTTTCAAGGTGATGCAAGCATAATAACATTTGCAGAACATTTCCCCAAATGCAGGCTGACACTCGCCTGTCTTTCTTCTGATCACTCAGGTCCCAGATGATCACAAAAAGCTTTAAAACTCTATTGAGTAATATTGGGGCCCATAGGAAAATATCATGCTTGTCTGTTTTGAAGGGAAGAATGGAGTACAATTCTCACTTCTCCACAAATGTAGGTCTTTACGAAGCATACAGATTTTTTGTTATTGTTTTTTTACTTGCAGTGTGACAAGCTCTTTTGCCGGTGACATAATTGCATAGTATTTGCTAAGAGATATTGCTACCCAAAACAGTCACCACAGGGAAAGCATCATGAAGATCTCTCTTTGAAAATGAGAAGAAACATAATTTTCTTTGGTAAAGAAGAAGAAGGGGGAAAAAAGATCCAATGCTTAATATCTACTCCATCAAACTTATTTAAAATTGGAGCGAGGATGGGAAAATTGAAGTGATGCTTGGAAGGAAAGTTATGTCCATAGTAGAAAAAAAAGTAGAATTTTATCACAGATACCTGCAGAGTGCTTTCTGAGTGATCCAGAACAAAACCAGTGGTGATCATACAATTAATATGTATTTTTGTTGCAAAGTTTTTGTAGGACACTGATATATACAACCTTCTTCGTTGTATCTTGATTGAATATAACTGAAAAATGGACTACATAGTAGTTAAATTAGATGATGTGAGTAAAACTCTGAAAAATGAAACAAAAATTCTATACAGTTTAAAGTGAAAAACCCAGAGAAAAATATACCCTTACAAATGGAGTTGTGCTATCATACAGAAAGTACACACAAAGAAAAGGTCTGTCTTCTATAATGAGCCAAAAGATGAAGACCAGTCAGAAAGTGGGCATAGGTGATTTGGCTCTGTGATGCTGGGCATCCCTGAAAGGCCTATGGAGGCTCGTCTAGGATGAATGATGACATAAGTAAGTCCTCTGCTGATTGTAACTCAGCTGGCATGACTGCAGGGGGAGGGCAGGGGGAGGCGGTCCTTCTGTGGGGGCAGGAGACTTGGCTCTCCAGTGTGTTTGCCTGTGTTGCAGATGCAGGTGTGGGAGGAGGGCAGGGGAACTGGAAGGGCCAGACGTGAAGTAACATCCACAAGGACCAAGGCTGCTGGGGGATGCAGTGAGCCCTGGAAGATGGGGCTAACATTTTCATCTTTCAGAGGTGTTTCCTCTCCAGGAGGAAGATAGATGTCCCTGTCCCCGTAGAATCATAGGGAAGGGATTGCTTTTCCAGATGGAAACTCAATGCCTGTTACAAAGGGGCACTTGTCACACCACAGACCCCTGACGGCTGGTGATGTGCCGCTGATGCTCCATGGTCACGGCACTGGTAGAGTCCTAGTTTTCATCCTCTCAGACGAGTCGCGCTTTAACAGACCGGGAGATGGTCCAGAACTCAAACAAATGAGAACCTTGGCACAGTTCAGGATTTATAGCATCCTCCTTCCCTTTCTCTGGAGGGAGACAGTTGAATAAAGGATGATTTCAATGAACCAGCTAGGGGGGTATGGTCATGCTAATCCAGTGATCGTTATTTTTTTTACCACTGCTGACCTTTCCCTTAGGGTTGGTTGAACTGGAGAAAATACTTGTTTTGGACTATGGCCTTCGGATATTTTCCTTTATTCCACTCTGCATTATCATATTCTTATTAGTGTGTTCTTCCTAAGATACTCACTGCCAAGTTTAAAGAATGTGGATATATCAGGAAGAGCATGCCATGGGGCAGAGCCAGATGGTTTTTTAAAATATCTGTTATTCTAGAGTTTTACGACTCGGATGTAACGTACTTCCTCTAAATAAGCAAACCAGAGGAAACAAATAAAAAGGTGCTTGCCCAGACGTAACAATAGTTTCTCACAAGTAGAAATGATTCCTATTTCTGTGGGTCCCTGTCACGGCTCCCCAGATACCACCCAGTGATTTGTGGGAGTCCCAGGGAGGTGCCTTCCTTGTGTACACAATTATGTTCTCTTACTCCTCAGTGATTCTTTCATTCTCCTTTTTACCGGAAGTCTCCAAATCTGAACTGCCTCTCTGTGGGGCAGTAGACGCTGATAAGCCTGTTGATAGCAGTTACCGCTATGATCTCCCCCTGTGCCTGGCCACCCTCGAGGTGGCTACTGTCTCCATCCTGATGAGTTGGCTACCACAGCCTTGTGGGCACTCTCAATGCATCAGAATTCTCAATAGACTCTCTGAAACCTCTCATTCATTCACCAAAGTCATAGAGTGTTCCAAACAGAGTGTGTGCCTTTAATATTTCGCTGTCTTTGGGATCTCTCAGGATGTATTTCCTAGAGCATGAGCTGCTCGAGATGGTAATGGGTCTCATATACAAAGAATTTCATAGGCAAATGGATTTGGGAAA